ACATTTAACCCTCAATTTGTTGTGTGGAGTCATTATGACCCATTGCAATTTCTTTAATTATTATGTGATAGATGGCACTTTACTTAGCTCCACCCACAGTAGTTTCCTTAATTATGTGTCTGTCTGTGTTGCGGTCTTCATCAGTGTTCTGCAGTTGTAGGTTTCTGCAAAGTTTCAGATTGGGGTCATTTTTATCCCATGTAACTACTTGGGTTATAATTTTTTGCAAGATCAGTTTGTTTTCCTGTGATTCTAATTTACTTGATTTTAAGTGTTTTTACTAGTTTGTAGCTAAAATGTGTCTTTTTGTTCTACATCTTTTCTGGTATTTCTCTGTTTAATTGTTTGTTTTAGATGATATTACTTCTTGTACCTCTTCATATTGCCATTTTGGCATTTATTTTATACAGATGGATAGAAAAGGATTTACTGTCTCTGCAATGGTTTTTAATATCATAAGCCAAATATGGGTTTGGACAAAAATAACAACATATTTTAAGGATTGAAGCTTCATAATAATTTAAATACTACATTAGGAGCATAATGACCCCAGGCGATGAAATATATGCTCCATTTTACCATGTGACTTATTGAGGGTTAAGGACAATACTTATTTTTAGAAATAATTGAGTACGTAATTTCAGCATCAAATTTATAACTGTGGTTGCTTATTTACATCTTTATTTTTTAAATTTGTGAAGTTTTTTTCTTAACAAAAGTAACAATCTATGTATATAAATTCATGTAAATGGGTATGATAAAAATATTAATTTTTTGGATAATCCCTACATGAATACAACTTTTTAGCACCCCCACTATTGGTCTAAACACCATTTTTTTTCTTTTCAGCCAAAGTTATTGACAATTTGAAAAATTTGATTAAGTATAACTTAATGTTGTTACCTTAATACCCACCTTAAGTTTATTGTACTATGTGGTAATTGTAACATTGAGTTTTAATATATCTAGAAATGTGAAAAATCTTATTAATAGAACAATCATTATAAGATCAATCAATTTTAATAATTTATTAGGCACTTGTATGTATAAAACTGCATTTAAGTTATTTTATTGACAGTGATAGGTGAACTTGCCTAGGCTGTTATTCATAAACAAAGGTCCTGTCAAACGAGTGAGGTATGTTGTATTTAATGCTTAGGAATAGGTCCTCAAGTTCATTCAAAGGCATGGTCAGGAGTTATTTACCATGGAATAAAGCCCCAGTGACCAGGAGGGTAGACTTTGCCTAAAATAAAAGTAGATAATGTTTTCCGACATAAATAAAATTAAGAGTTCTTCATACACTTGTACACATGTATTTGTGTATGTTTTATGGTTCAGTAATCTATCTATATCAATACATGTAGTTCTCATTCTTTACACAGTAAATTATTTCATTATTGAGGACATTTAGGAGTTATTAAATGCAGTTCTTTCTCTAGTCCTTTTACATTCTGGTAGATTTGTATCTTTTTTCACACAACATGTTAAAATTAATACACTTTTCTAATTAATAACAACAGTATTTAAAAGTATATAACTCTAGAGATGTTCTTATAACTTGTGTGAAGTAAGCCAGCTTTCTGTACAGTTTGAGTTACTTCCATCTTTATCATATACACTATATTCTTCTTAATTAGCCCAATTTTATTATTATAAGCATTCCAGAAGTCTAGACATTTTGCAACAACACTGTAGAAAGTTCATGGTTTTTAACAATGAACTACTCTCATCAAAGTAGTCTTAACCCTCCTATTATAATTTGGGTTATATTGACCTGATGCAATTTTAAATAAATTGAAACAGCAATGAATTGCTCAAATATTTTTTGTGCACAGTTTTACTCTTTTTATGTTAAATATCAGAAATAATTATAAGCTGTTATTAAAATAAACTCAGAGATGTTTAGTTACATCACACTAGCCATCACTAATTTTGAAGTGATAGGCAGCTAACCAAATTCACCCTTTACCTATTCTTGGGCTATTCACCAAACAAAACAGTGGGATTTTATTTTCATTCTTATAACATACCCATGATCCCAAAGTACAGGGTGATTTATTTTTTGCCAGTAATGGAAGTGCAAACCATGGAACTTCACCTCTACAGTCAAACATACCAATCTCTGAGTTACCTTCAACTCTAATGTTAGAGAAACCAGTGTTGGGTTAAGTACACCTGAAACATGATAGGAGGGTTAATAGGTACATCATGATCTACTTACAGTAACTCATGTTTTGATACAGTATCGTACCTGTTCTCACAAAATAGCTTTTCTCAATTAGTACTGCCCTCTTCTGTACATATTTTCAATGCTTGTCACTAGCCTTCCACCCGCTTCTGCATATCCATGTCTAAATGATTATGCAGCAACTCTCCACCAATAGGAGCATGACACAACCCCTATCATAACCAGCGCCTTCTCCACATTTGCACTCATTAATCACTTCTTGATTGGCAGTAGTACTGTACAGACTTGATTGCTTGCAAATTTGTCAATGTTTTCCTTTATACTATAGACTTAGTTTTACTTTGCTATGTTTTTGTTATTTATTTATTTACAAGGGCCTTTTTTGCTAGTCTATTGTGAATCCCACTCTGTGACAAGTGGTGCCTGACCAGCTATTTTAATTTCATTTTTTGAAAATTCACACTATCCATCCTGTGATCATGCTTGATGTCAGTTACGTTGTAGCTTTTCCTACTGCGGACCTGATGTACAATTCCAGATGCTGCCAAGTGTTGGTTGTATGTTTCATTTCAGTTGTCATCTATGCTGAAACAATTATGTTGCAGGATTAGGTTATGCACACTGTAGAGATGGGGTGTTCTTTAGGACCGCTAGTAGTTCTCTCTAGTGGTCTTTGGCTTCATAAATATGTTTGTTCCAGATCGTACCCTCATGGACACACATGAGTAAAATAGACAGGAAATGTTGTCTATCTCTGATGCTCTGTTGCATTGAGACTCTTTTCTACTGCGGACCTTACATACAATTCCAGATACCGCCAGATGTTGGTTGATCGACTCTGTTGACATGGTAACTCTGCTTTTCAAAATAGGGTATCACGATCACCCATTGCTCTGTCTCTAGTGATGTGGTCCTCTGGAATCTCTAGCATTTTTTCCTCCTATCTTCTAGTGGAGTATGGGAGTTCTTGCCACTTACCAGTTCCTAGCCGCTAGGGTGGTGGATCATGGAGGCCTGTCCACCTGAGTGAGGCATCATACCACACAGTTGAGAATAGGGTGGTGGTGGCATTCTGCAGATGACGATGGCATATAGCATTTTTTACTGCAAACCTGATGTACAATTCTAGATACTGCCAGGTTTTGGTTGTAGCACTATGCCGTATTAATGTATATATATATCTGACAGATTGCTTTTTCTCACTGTGGTATTCCTTCTTCCTACCATCCTCCGGGTGTACATTCCTGGTGGGTCTGGTATTGGTTGGAGGTGGCCTGGTCACGATTAGAATCATATGTCTATTGAGTGACGCCCTTCCTACCACAGACCTGATGTACAATTAGTCCCGCTAAGTAAGTTCTCACATTTTCTGGCCAGTATTTCTCATCCTACAATGGAATGGATTAAAAAATGCCCAAGGCTATCAGGTTTTGACTGGAGATGCACCCCAGGTTTGCAGTCCCTCTTCCTACTATCTGCTGGATGTCAGTTCCCAACGGATCTGGTGATCATTGTAGCTGGATGCAGCACATCTATTCCCACTTGTGTACAGTTAGGTATCCTCCTCCTCCTCCCATGAGCTGGAAGAATCATACTCAATTCCACTAGGGTTTGGACTGGAGATGTCATCCCATGAAGGCTTTCCTTCTTCCTACCATCTGCTGGATGTCTGTTTGTGGTAGAGCAGGTGTTGGTTGGAAGTGTGTGTAAGTGGAGATGGATTTTGGTATGTTCTTCCCTACCAATTTCTGTTTCAAGGTGAAGAGGTAGGTGATTCTCTGCCTACCACGGAACTGTTCTACAATTCCAGATTCTGCCAGATGTTGGATGAGGTCAAACTACCACTATGGTCTGTTGCACCCTAGCCATTTGACACCCAGGGATCCCATTAATCAGTCATATATATTATGGGATTTCATCATTATATTGCTTCCCTTTAGCAGCTTTTCAGGGTAAGGAATACTTCTTAAGTCTTCATTTGTATCAACTGAAGAAAAAAATAAAATTTTGTAACCCAACCATCTCATAAGTCTTCCATTATCACCCCTCAGAAGTTCTAAGCCCATCCTAACATATTGCTTACCCTTAATGTATTTAGAGAAATCCTTAATGTTAATTTTCACATTTTTGGACAACCTTTTTTCTTGTATATTATTTTCGATTGCTTAAGGTCTATTGATCTGCTATAACCTTCTGCAGCTCTCATCATAGCAGTGAATTTAAGCTTATTAAATTTCTAATGCTTTTCTTTACTTTTATCCCTTATACTCTTATTGAGCCAACCAGGTATTTTTATGAGAACATAAAACTTTTCTTCTGACAAGATAGCAAGTTATTTAATTCTAATTAGTACTTAAAAGTGCTGGATGGAAAAAGTTTCTATATTTTTTGTAGTTTAATACAAATTATTCATCATCTCTGAATTCAGTATTAAGGCATCTTACCATAAACTAATAAAGAAATGTTATACTGTGTATTTAGAGTGTAAATAACCCAAACTAAAATGTTGATAAGGTGTAACAAAATTTTGTGATTCTGATTACCAAATTGGCCCTAGTGAAATGACACCAACCATAATTATTTTTAGTGATAAACATTTCAAGATAGTTATCCCACCTTTGAAGGTATGAGTGCAGTTGGAAATTCCTTGGGTGACCTTGTTTATCTCAAAGAAAACTACTTATATGGACAGAGGCATACCATAATTGTCCAAGGCACTCTGATTGTTATGAGCTCCATTTAACATGGTGAGTTGTCGGTGTCTTTCTGTGAGCATGCTTGCTGTATAAATTGAAAAAAAAGTTACATCTGATGACAGATGAATACTGACATCTGTGCCTCATAAATATTTCTTCACTAACCATTTAGAGGAATATCATGGCTCACTTTCAAAAAGTTATACATTTTTTCTCTTAGCACTGAACTCGTGGGTTGTAAGATAAACATGTTTTATATTGGTGGTGGGGCTTTGTCAGTTGGAGAAGTTAAAACCTCTTTCAACACGAAAAAATGTTATTTTCAAATATAAAAAATATTCTGAGGATAATCATCTTGCTGAAGCCAAGGCTGTCATTGATTCCACAACCAAGTGGGCATTTAATACTTTTGAAGTACTGATGTCAAAGGGCAGAGCTCTTCCTAATGTAACACTCAAAAGTAAGTTCGATGTTTTTCAAACAAAACCTGAACAAAAAGATAAGTGAAACAAAAATATTTCTATATTTTTTCTGCTGATGTAAATATCTAAAATATTCAAAATTTCCTTTTAAAAATGTACAGTTTTCTTTGAAAATTGGTACATATAGTGTTCATTGGCCCAACAACACTATCCCCTTGTATATAGATCATATTCAGTATTTAAATTGTATCTTTCAAAAGAAATAAATAGTTCATGAAAACTATTGTTACCCTATTTCACTGTGTTAAATACTAAAGTGAAATGTATTGGGAATGGTTAAAAAAAATGTACTTACCTATCTACCCTAATTTTGAAATAAATGTAATTGGAGCCACATCTTTTTTGTTTGGCTTATTGTATTGTTAACTTTAAAGAAGTGGGTTTATTAATTCAATTGGCAGTATTACAATTAGTGATGCACGTGTAGTAAAATTTGGCTGACTCCTGAGTCCGTGTACCCAGTCACTAAGCTTTGGCCGAGGACAGGTGTCAACTGGGACTGAGTTCTCTTCTTGCCCCCCCCAAATCATACACAAAAATTAGAAAGAAAAAGAAAATTGACGTTTATTACATTTAGCCAAATAATCACCAACAGAACATTCAAGTTTTACTTTCAACTTCTCAAACCCTAACCCCTATTGTTCTCAAAAACCCCCCACCTTCCCCAGAAATCCACTTTTCAAGCCATGCCTGTTATTAACCCCTATTGTTCTTTCAGTGGGCGGTCAGTTTTTGTTGCATGGAACACTTTTTTTAACTAAACCAATTATTGACTGTAACTTTCAGTATCACATTAGTTACCATAAAGATTAGGGTTTAGATGCCTAACTTTGACACTCGGCCAGACCCGAGTATTACTGGATAGCCCAATACCCGGCTGGGGCTGAATATCTGGCCGAGTACCAGTACATCCCTAATTACAATATAAGCACATCATAGCAACTTTTTGGATTGTAATATTTCTAGCATCAGTGGTGATACCAAAATTCTGAGAAAAACTGATTCTTATGAGAAGACTTCCTTATTCAAAAGGGACTTGACAGTTTTAGTGAATGTTATGGAAAAAGAGGAGGATCTAATCGTGGTTGTTGATAAAACCTTGAGTGTTTATCCATGGTGAAAAGATCAAGTAGAGTTCTTGATTCTGTTAATTTTGAATTTGAGGACAAAATATACATGTATATTTAGATTTTTTAAATTTTAGTACTAGAGTCTCCAAGTGGGAAACCAAGAGGCTTTTAAAGGTTCTAAGATTTGTTTATGCTGATTTACATGAAACTTAGCACAAAAGTTTAATGGATGATTGAAATTACATGTTCAGATTTCCTTTTTTTAATTTTTATATTGGTACCCCATATTAGAGGATCAAGGGTTTTGTGGGGTTGCATTGAAAACTAACAAGGATATTGTCCTTATTGAACAAAATGAATGCAATTTTTTTCTTTGCCTGTAGATACTTTTTTCTTTGAATTTTCATAAGTATAATCTAGAAATTTATGTAACACTTATAGTTTGTATAATTAAACCAGTTACCTTTTTCTAAAGTAAATTGGTTTTTAATTTTTTAATTTTTCTTTTATAGGATCACACTCACTTGAGAAAGAACTGAAACGTTGCTAATATCAAGAACTGATTGACTGTAGTATAGTCGTATCAAAGTGCACTCAAAAGTTTTGTGAGATATTAAAACTTAGGAAATTATATTAATGCGGTGCTTTGTAAGTGTAATTGCAAGCGTCCTACAAAGAAGCTTCAATAGTTCCTGAAAGAAAAAACACAAACAATAAACAGACTGTTTAATTTATATAGTTCTATTTCATTTGCCCCAAAATAAAAAATGGTAAGTTTTAATCACCTTGTATCTATTTCAATTTTATCAGTCAAGTTACCTTCATCTATAGACTGTCAAAGCAATAATTACATAATTGAATATACATTTATGTGCTTTTGTATACAAGAGAAAAAATCAAACTCTGTTAAAGTTTGCCTCTAAGTAATCTAGTATGAGCCCACTGACTTTAAAAGAGTATTTGAATGCTTTTTGAATGAATAAATGCATGAAATTTAAAGCTATATGCAGATGTTCCTATGAATAAGTTTTCTAATTGTTGATGCTGCCTAATAAGTAAATAAGAATAACTTTAAGTGAACTGTAACATGTTCTTATAAATTTTTATTGTTTTAAAGAAGTACAATTGTTTGTCAAAACACATTTTTTAAATTAAATTTTGAATGTTTGAAGGGCAGTTGTTTTCATTTGAACATGGTAAGGATATCAGGTGATTTAAAATTCAGATGTCTTGAAATTGTTAGGAGCTTAAATACTGTAAACCACTTGTTAAAGCTTTACGATTTCTAGTCTTATAGGGATAGAAATGGTAGTGAGGAAGATCAGTCAGAGTATAGACCCAGATTGGTTCTGATGCAGATAATGCAATAAATTAGTATTTACATTTAATCTAACTATTATATGACATCTGTTTTATAGAACTGTGTATTACTGAACTCTTTTAAACTCTTATTTGATTGTGTATATCTTAGTGGTTTAAAATCATAAAAAGAAACTGCTTAACATACTATTATCATAAATTTAAAACATTGAATAGTATTATCAGTAATTTGAATTTACTTATATAAAGATCTTAGAAAATGACCATGCTTGAAAGTGAACCGAGATTGAAGTTTAGGATTAATGTATTTTGTGAAAGTTGAGGCCGATATCAAACAACAGTTAAATGGAATTTTAAACATGAAGTTTACTAGTGCTTCTTGCATTTTCATTCATTGCTATATTTATTGATATTTGATCATCGGTTTGTAAAAAAGAAATTAAATATCAAAAATAACATTAGATAAACAGAATCACTTTAACTGAGCAAAACAAATCTGAGTATCAAAGTTTTTTATAAACTTATCTGACAGAGCTTTCAAAATAACTGCCTAGCATGTTAATTAATCACAGCAAGTAAAATGGTAGTTAGCTATTAAGTATCACTTATTTCAGAGATTATATCTAATGACAAACATTCATATGAGCTTTGTTTTAATCAGTTTTCTTAGGGTTTATTATTAAACTGTTGGTATTTTGTGACCTGTAAAGAATTTTGCAAAGAAACTTGTAATGTTTTTCTTGTCATCTGCACATTTAAGCCATCTTTATTTATACTTTATTAGATATTTCTTAGTGCTGGGAAATGTACTTTTTGTTATAGGATTTGATTACTGCTGGTATAATTAATGTTTTTATAATGATGAATTTTGCATGTTTTTAAAAATCAACCTTCTTGATCACTAATAAAATTTTACATGTTTTTGTTTCTTATATATATATGTAGTATGGTATCAAATTGATATATTTTAGTGCAACTTAACTGTAATTAAAGTATGTCTTTATGAATTAGTCTATAGCAGAGTTTTTAAAAGAGCTGCCATCACATAATGAGAGCAACTTTTCAAGATTTCAAGCTGATACATCATCAAAAACAACTGTAAGTAGCCCTTGGATTTTATTGTTGAGTCATTTCGGGAATTAGAATAACAATTGAGTTGTCATATGAAGTAAAGTTTTAGTAATTTTTATAGAGTGTGATTTTAAAAAACCTAATTCAGACTTAGTTTCTTTTTGTTTGGGATATCTTTTAAGGTAGAAAATGTGGTAAAGTTTTGTCAGTAAAGTAATATTTTTAAACTTTTGTTGACCAGTGAAACACTAGATGACCACCTCTACACATGACTTCTGCCCATACACCACATATTTCCTGATGAAACTCTGTTGCTGTGATTACTGTTGGTCTTTGCTCATATATCCATTCCATGACTTTGGCTGTTTTGAACCAGTCCATTACCTTTCCTTCCACATCCAGCTGCCAGTCTTCATTGTGCTTAACTTAATGAAATCTTCCAAGATTCACTCAATACTCTTGATGTTTTCTAGTGGACATCTTCTCTACTTCTTTCTTGGCCTCACTAACCCATGACTTGACTGTTTTCAGTCTCTGTGTTATGGATATGGTACTAAGCCAAAAGTGAAGAGTGTTAATAGATGTTAGTTTGGCTGTTCCTATTGCTGTGCTCATGGTTGCATTCTGTACCCCCTATAGCTTGGACATTGCGATTCAGTTCATTCAGAGCAGGATGTGTGGCATTCCAGTTTGCACTTGTCTGGGTGACCAGTAACAGTAAAGAGCATGATAGGTAGTAACTCTTGACAGACTCCTTGAACATAATCAGAAGACTGGAGACTGATTTTGTTCAAAGAAACTGGGTAAAAACCATTAAGAAACTTAAAGGCTCATCTGTTAACAATCAATATTCCAGGCATTGCAACTTATCATTTGATGAGAAAGTGGACCACTCAGCTGGTAAGGTACAACCATTGGGAAACCTGGCAAGATCTCAGAATGATGTCCTTAGTGTAATAGCATGTAAGCTGAGGAAACAGAAGATGGCACAGTTGTTACAGTGTTCAAATAGAAGACTGGAGGAAAGAGAGTGGAAGGGAAGCAAGCATGAAAGTGTGCAAAAATGATAGATTCTACTTAAATAAAACTGAACTAGTCATTATTACTTGAAGAAACTTTGAGATATTATTGTTGGAGGGAGGAAAGTCTGTGCCAAGGCTAATAACAAAATCTTCTAGTGTGTAATAGTAGAAATAATAGTGTTAAAATAATATTATTT